GGGGTTAACATCAGCTGGACTTTAAAGATATGTGATGTTGAAAAGTGAGGACATTCATGCTATTATGAGTGCGCTCGCTTCCTCCTGCATTATCAACAAGCAACCAATTTGAAGCAATAAAATTGTCGTTCTTCACAACCACTGACAGATTTTGAAGTTAACAGTATGGTTGTTTTTAATTAATATATATTCCTCTCTATTAAAATAAGTCTTTTATTAACATGTTTTCAATTAAATTAAATGCATTTTATTTATATAGTGCCAAATCTTAATTGTCACCTCAAGACGCTTTATATCGCAAGGTATTGTAAGGTAACTCCTCTACAATAATACGGAGACAAGCGCAACAATCAGACGATCCGTGGTCAGCAAGCAATAGTGGGAAGGAAAAACTCATCTGCTTAGTTAGGGGTGAGGAAGACAGGACACAAGACATGCTGTGGAAAGATTAGGAATGACTAGTGAAAAGAGGTAAGTAAAGAAGAAACATGGTGTCATGGGAAACCCCCAGCAGACTAAGCCTATTGGAGTGTAGCAAAGACAATAAACTCATTTTTTTCTGAATTCAGAAGCAGGAAATTAGAAGTCATCTGGAACTTTATATGCATAAGATTTTCCTTCAGTTTTACTAATTGGAGTGTGTTATCTGGTTTCATGGATACAGTAGATAGAGTTGGGTATCATCTGTATACCAATGAAAATGCATGCTGTGCCTTTAATAATACTGTCTAAAGAAAGCCTGTATAATGTCATTAGAATTACAGGCCTAACAGGACAAGCATGGAGATGAGTCCACTATCCGAGGCCATAAAAAGATCATTCTTAACTTTCTCCAGCGTTCTTTACTTTCCTTCTTGTTATTGTGGAAACAATGCACCGTCATTCAATTCAATGTTATTTATATAGGGCCAAATCACAACAACAGTTGCCTCAGTAGTTTTTTAATGTCTCCAATTGTATTTCAGCTGTACATGCTATCGTTGTTTTGACACTGAATACTGTGTTAGCTGTTTATGGATACAGTTTGCTATGAAATACTTAAGAAATCTAAAATAGCTGCTGGAATTTCTATTCATTTACACTAAGAGTAGCCTAAGAACTTATTGTACAAAGTTCTCAGGCTACTCTTAAATTCATCTTAATTTCTTCTTCATGTTATCAAGTGGTAAATAATAATCTAAATATATCTAAGAAATAACTACAACGTTTGAACATATGAAGTCAAAAATAATAAATAAATGCTTAAATTATTTTCATTGGGGATAAAATGAGTTGCAGTGCTATGCAAGTCTTGAGCCACCTCTCATTTCTTTATGTTTTGCAAGGAAATGGGAAATAGGTTCAATTATTTCCAAAAGATGTGCAAACATATATGCAAATACATAATGTAAGGCAAAAGCAGAAGTAAAAGGAAATTTCCCACGCGTGGGACTAATAAAGGTTATCTTATCGTATCTTTTTGAAATACATTCAAAGCTTAGGGCGTCCGGGATCATTGTCATGCTGAAAAACAGAGCTGTTGCCAGTCAGAGGCTGTTCACACTGCATTACATGGTGGATCAAAATGTTTTCTGTGGTCATAATTTCATCAGTTTTAGTCCCAGTATTATTGATCTCCAACACCACTGGCTAAAATGCAACCCCGACACCATCATAGATCCTTCACTGTATTTTACAGATAGCTGTAGACAGTGACTGTGGCTTTCCTCAGCCGTTTTTCACTGTTTCCCTTCCTTGAGAATGGGAAGCAGGGAGTCACCCTTCCACTTAAATCATTTCTGATGAGGCTTCAGTAAGCAGTAGATGAGTTAACTGAAATGTCAGCTCTTTCAGATTTTTTTCTGTTTCTTAAAGACATGAATTTCAGATACTGTTCTTCTGCTGTGCTCCAATTGTCCAGTTTCCTAATTTTTTAAGGATAGGGTGCTAAACTTCACATCTGATATGAATATATAAATAAATAAATTGATTATGCACCTGTACATGCACTCATGTGTGACATTTAAACAACTTTAAGCCAAAATGAGGTTTTGTGAGTCCATTTCATTGCTGTGTTTTGTAACTAAGTAATGACTTTAGTCACATGTATTCTGCAGTGAAGATGGCTGGCTGGAAGAAAGGTCTTATTGCAGTCTTTTGCCTCCTCTTCGTAATGGCCATCATCCTCTTTCTTTTCTACAAAAAGCGTCTCCCCAAATTAAAGAAAAGACGCACCGGCACCCTATCAGTGTAAGTAGCATTTCTCGTGTTCTTATCAGTATGTTAAAGGTTAGTTACCAGAGTATGGTTCCCATACATCCTCCTGTTGAACATACTTTGTGTTCACTTTGTTTTAGGAAGGCAGCCAGCACCAAAGTAGAGCGAATGAGCCTCACCCAGGCAGAGGTCAACGAAGCCGCAAATGGTACAGCTCCTTATGCTGATGCAGTTTCATTTAGCACCAAAACACAGTCTTCTCAAGGTGCTTTATTTTGTAAAGTAATAACTATACAATACTATAGAGAAAACACCAAGAATCCTAACATAGAATTATCCTAAATATATATTAAACATATGTTGTCTTGACTGATTTTGATGTTAAAGCAGGAGAATGTATCAGTTACATCACTGAGATCTGTGCCATGTTTATTCTCCCTGTGCAGCAACTCCAGGCATGATGGGGAAAAGTATTTGGAGTGAACATGTATCAGGCTCGGGTATGTAAAGTACTTATTTATTGGTAGCAACTCATGAAATCTCATGAAGATTCAAAGTCAACAATACTTTAATTCAAAAGGTTTGTTTCCCGTCACATAAATCTAAAGTTTGTCCAGTAAGTGTGCTCTTCTGGGCTTTTTTGTCTCTTTTTAATGAGGAAACATCTCACCCGGTGAGACAGAATGATTAATCAGTGTGTTTCTGATTTCTTTTAGAGAAAAACTGAGATCATTGGCACAAAAAAATAAGTTATACCACGTCAGCTACTCACACATTGTTGACTTTTCTCTCTTAATGCTGTTTTTGAAAAAGAAAATAGCAAAAGAACATATCTTTGTCATTAAATATCATGTCATACTATTTTTTTTAAATAAAAATAATGAAATATTCCAATATGCAAGTAATTTAAGTTTGCTCATTTCACTGTGTTGCAGAGTCTGATGACAACTGTAGTACAAACACTCTAGAAAAGCCAGAAATTCAGTACAAAGAGGATCAGCTGCAACAGGCAGATCCCAGCAGAGGTGAGAGATTATTTCTGAATTTTAATAAGTTGTAATTTGACTTTTTAAAGCTCAGTCTAAAATGTTATATCTGTTCCATGTCAGTTCCGGTGAAACAGGGCACAGACACAGTACACGGTGAAGTACGCAACTCCCAGCAAGGTACGACTAACATCCTGCTCCTCACACAGACCCCTTTTCTACTACACGGTGAGAGAAATCAGGTCATTAGATTAAGAAAAAAAACGCTAGCAACAGGAAACAGGATCAACCCCAACTGTAAACATCTGCATTGTTACTGAAAGAATGTACCATTAAAACAGAAGGGCCAGTCCCTAGGTGTCCACTTCCTGCTTTCGTCAAAGATCACTTCCTGTTGTTGCAACAGACTCACACAATGCTTGCATCTGTTAAGGCTAAGTAAGAAAAGTGCTTGATTGTTTGAAATTTATTGTCCATTGTTCAGTTCGGCTCCTAATAATATAATATTACTTAATGAGTGATACAGCACAATTCAGCTCAGTTTTATTTATACACCACCACATCCTAAGTTAAGTCATCTCAGGGCACTTTACATAATCCGAGTTAAGAACTTAATGTATTATATGGAGAAAGCAAATGATCTGGAGTGAAGGGTTTTTGTGCATGTGTCTCAGGAAGCAGCGTGTCTAAAAAGACATGAGCTTATGAGAATGATCAGTATGAATGTGTCGGATGTGATAAGCTGCCTGTTTCCTGGGAATAGAGAGCTGTTCATGGGAGTGCTGGAAACTAAAACAGCCCTCATTTAATCCTCACACACCTTTTGTTTCCTGAGCTTGTCCTCTGGCTTTGTTTTTGCAGGTGTTCAAGAGCTGGCTGATGCTGTAAGTGTGAACACGTCATGCACATACACATACTACCAAGAGCTGCACGCACACACACACTCATGACTGTATTGTGCCTTTGCTCCGAGAAACATCTCACAGACAGAAACTGTACAATAAGTGGAAACCCAGTGGAGACACTTTTTATTGTTTGTAGAAAGGTAACTTAAAGGGTTGCATTTCATGTAATATAAAATTTGCAGGAAAAAAGCATCTAATGTAGCTGAGTAAAAGGCTCCAAATTTGCTCATCACATTGAGTTAACTCATTAGGAGGTGTAATATGATAGCATCTCTCAAACCTTTCTCCATCCTTCTGGAGGAGCTCTCCAGAGTTTGTAGCAACAATCCTGATGAATGTCTCATGTTATCGCTGTATCAAGTGAGAAATAATAATCTTAGTAAGTAAAATCACTAAACAGTACCGCACGTACAGTCAGCATTTAACTCAGTGAGCCAATGAAAATAATCGTTCATACAACCTTCGTGTTTCAACAGGCGTCTGTGGAATATGCAGAACTGAATCATGATACCAATCACCAAAGCGACCCCAGTGACCACGGTTACCACAGTGACCCCAGTAACCATGGTTACCACATCGCCAATGATGACCAGCCAAATGACAATAGTGTTAGCATTAACTGCGCTAACAACGAGGAATGAAACCCTGACCAGATACCAGGCGCAACAAGAATATTTGTTCCCGTATTTATCCAGCTTGTTCATGTGGCTCAGTGTTTGTGCTCATATGTTTTTTATCATGCTTTGGAAAAACAATCCACACTGTGCATGTACTTGCTTTGTCCTTGTTGGCTAAATACATGGTTTTGTGAAATAAGTCTCTCTATTTTTGTCAATTTTTTTAATGAAAGAAGAAAACACATTCAGATGTGCGTCCTTTGAACTGTAAAGAGGTGTTTCTCATCAGCTGAGCAGGGTCCTTGAACTCTTCAGTTGTCTGGTTTGGAGTACATTCGGTCTTCACTGCTGTTTGCACATCAGTGATTCCAGATTGAAGCACTAGAGGGCAGACTTCAGGCGCCAGCGCTGCGTGGAAACTCAGTGCCATCTGGCTGTGATCGGCTTGAATGTGAGAGAGGCTTTCACTGTTGCCTCCACATCAGGAGATATCAGTTTCATTTTCCATTATCTAAGACTTAATTGGAATGATATAACATGAATCTATTCAAGGTCTCCATACAGCTGATATGTTTTTTTAGGTCAGTCATCTTATTGACACTGTGGGAAGTTATGCAGATGCTCAAGGCTTTGTTGAGAGCACAGCAGAAACAAAGCATGCATGCAGTATGCATTGCGGTGTTTGGACTCTAGTATTTGGAATAAGCTGTTAATTTATTTTTCACTCCTGGAAGAAAATAATGAGAGTCAATATCACTTTTGGAGCTACACCAGATTTTTGTTTCAGCTTTTGAAAGCGCAAACAAATTTATTAAAAACAGAAAAAGGAGAAACATTAAAAAAGTTTTTATTTATTTAATCATAATTTACTGTGATTTGGGATGGTATTAATAAATGCCATGATTAATTCATTACTTCATACCTGACACGATGGCTCTGCCACAAAATTAACTGAGTATGTTGTGTTCCTCCTTGTTTTCTGTTATCAAGCCTGTTACAATGGTAGTTGCTCTTGTTAAACACGGCCAAAGTTTCAAATAAGGAGGTCAGTGTATGTTCAAGTAATCCCTTTATTCTAGAGCTCAGGCTTCAGGCTGCCAATCAAAAGAAAGCTGGATTACAGGAAGGGTCAACAGAGCTAAAACATCTTCAAGTGAGAGACTGCACCAATTTGTTGGTGAATCTGTTACACAAACTAAGCTAACACTAAAAGCTTGCCACCAACTCAAACAATCTTTAATAACCATCCATCTGAAACTTGCATGTCTACGACTGTGATCAATAAAAAATAAAAAAAAACTCTAAAATCTCCTCCTCCATCACTTCAAAATTTGCTTATTGCTTCATGCATGTGTGCATATGTGACACCAGGGTGATTCTGCAAGGTCCTCTGAGGCAAATAGAAATGTCTTCAAGCTCCGAGGTGCCAAAATGAAAGCCCACCTCTGCTCTGAGGATAGAGCAGTGCCTCAGTGAACCTGTGGTTTATTAATCAAGTTACTTAACCAGGAGGCTGAGCTTGACATGGGGGAACAGTGTATTCTGAGCCGCAGCGATCACGCACTCTGGAACTGATACTGTGTTACATTAATATCAGAAGTGTAAGTTATACAGTATCATTAGAAATAAACTGGAGCTACTTTTGGCTGCTAGCTTATTCACAAGGTGTCACCCCAGCGGGTAGCTCGGCATGTTTGATTTGGCAGTTTTTGTGCCCTTCCTGAAGCAACCCCCAAAGGGATTCGTGTCTCCTCCTCCTCTCAATTCATTTGTATTTATTTAGAGCTCAAGTCACCTTAAGGCAGACCCTTTAAAATAATAGAGAGAAACCACAACAATCAAATAACCGTCTTTGAGCAAGCACTTGGTAGCAGTGGGAAAGAAAAACGCCCTTTTAACAGGAAGAAACCTTCAGTAGAAACAGACTCAGGGAAGGGCGGCCATCCAACATGACCGAGTTAAGCAAACGTGTAAACCACTACAGTATGGAGCCTCACAGCTGCTGGAATTTAATCAACAGCAGACAGAGAACTTGACTTGTTTTTCGATACGTGAAAAGGCAAAACAGCAAAGTCACCATTACCCACTTGAACCTGAGCATGTGCTAGAAGACAGTGTGCAAATGCTTGGAGTGAATTCCTGCCGCTCATTTCAGTCACTGTACACTTTGCCCAAGGATGGTCCTGCTCTGCCTTCAGATCCTAAACTGTATCAGGGGCAGCCTGAGGATTTACTACTGCTCCTAAAGTTATGACCTGTGAGCCCAATCGGTAACCTGACTGACCTTTTGGACTCCTATTAGAAGGAGGCATGTCGCACCACCCCCAGGGAGTACAACAGTCACATGATCCAGACTTAGGGTGGACATTATGTGGCGAATAAGGACAGGGGCTTGGCTATATGCATACATATGTCTGGAGTGATGGATTAGTCTAGCAGGCCCAGTACAGTCTTCTGTCTACTTTCTCTGTGCTGCACGTACGCTGTTTGTGTCTCAGCCACGTAACCTGATCCAGCCCCCTCGTGTATCTGGAGCACAACTCTTGAACTGCCATTGGCTGCTGTGCTAATATTAGCATATTGCCCCCTGTGAAATGCATTCTGGGAATATCCTGTCTTTTCCTTGGCCTTATGGAGCCAGTGCTGTTTCTGGTCTTCAGATGAAGCAGTGAGGTCATCGTGTAGACCGCTGCTTCCTTCTTCCTGCAAAGGATTCCCAGCCATGGTGTAATTATTCTAAATGTGGCATATTGTCACTGTCTGATGAAGTTAAAAGGTAACTTTAAAAAGGAGTATCCCTACCAGCAATCTTATTGCTTGTCACCCTTGCAATCAGTAGTTAATATCACTCCCAAAAACGTTGGGTAAATTTCATATACGTTTATAGGTTTACTTTTTCAGCTATAGTTCACATTCAGTAGGTATATGGAAGTGTATGTGTATGTGTGGTTGAGCATATGTTTGACTCTATGTCCACTTCTCTAATGTATGTTTGATTTACCTTTGATCATAGGTTTGATCATTACTTAACTACTTTGGTGTAGTATGAATGGCGATGGGGATGGAGTCGATATTGGTTGGAAAAACTGCAATTCATGACAATCCACTTAAAAGTTAAAAATCTGTGCACTCCTTCACATTTCCCAAAGCTGGACTGGAGTCTTTGCCAGGCTGATTCTGGCCCCCATGCCTTAAGTTTGACACCCCTGTAATAAACAAAGTTAAAAATAATCAGCATTCTTTCAAAAAGTCTATAGACACTGATATAAAATTTCTATTGTGAATCTTTTTATTTATTGTCACAATAACGGAGTCAGAGTAGCGACAGCTATAACAGTTAAAGCATCAGATGTTGTTAAGAAGTGCCTCATTCATTGTGCTTTTACAAAAATTATTATTTACTCTATACTTTTTTGTTCTGCATGCTCAGTAGTCGAGCATTTTTGGGTGAAGTGATGCATTTGTTGTGATTTTAAAGACCTTCACTGATATATGCAGATATATAGAAAGAGATCATTTTTACATAGTGGCAGTAATGCACTCTTAAACAGCGTTATAAAGCAAGGATGGTTATGCAATTGCAAAAACTAAACACCTCTGTCCTTTTTAAGCTTCCTCTTAAATGACCTCGAGGTTACTTTTAGTAAAACCACAGCTAATTTAAACACACTTAGTGCTTCTGGAGAAGAGCTTTATATGAGATGAGAGAATGGCAAAATAATGTGTTTATATAATGTGCATTTGCAGTTTCCTGATTGGAAATAATCAAAGCTCAAAGGCTGCAAGCTAAAGGCATGTGTGGAAGACTGATTCTCCATTGTCCTTCGTATGGCGAGTAAAGGTTACATTCAGTGAGTCCACCTGTTTGATGCCCTCCATCCTTAATAATTTAAGCTCTCCCAAATCCAGGAAATTAATTCTTCATAACCTTGAGCAACCTGGTCAGAAAAAGCAGAGGTTCACCGGACTGACGTCTTCTTAGCTGACCGTTTCCACTTTTAAACACACAGACTCATTATGCAATCGTGCATCAAAGGATTACACACATGTATGGAGATTTTTTAACCTCTGACCTCCTTTTCCATGAATGCAGGCTTCAGCTAAGGTAACCCTATCCTCTCACAAACTGCTCCCGCTTCCATCTGTTCTCGGTCTGATCCCTCAGACTCTCTCTGTGCCCTGGACAGCTGCAGTGCCATTTTGCGGGGAAGCATTCTTCACACAATGTCAGCAACAGCATCCCTCACTGACGTAGCAGCTTCATAATCAGATGCGTTATCCTTGATTCGGATGACATGCTGACTGCTTTTCTAAGCAGACCGTGGATTCTCTCCTGAGACTGTTTTCACAGCTCCATTAGAAGCCTTTAAATTTTGGGCTACAAGGGAAACATAAGTGTTTTTGTGGGCACATGCACAGTCAGTAGGAAACTTCTCTTAGCTTTGCTAACATTTGAACAACGGATAAGCTTTTGCATGCATGTACTATGCTATGTGCAACTGATGCCACTTTGTTAGGTACACCTTTTCAGCTGGACATTAAACACAACGATCTAATCAACCAATGATATGGCACCAACAAAGTGGAAGTGAGAACTGCTGTTCAGCCAATAGCAACTCAAATAATCGGAACACCATATTCCAAGGTATGCGAATACCTTTGACTCTGACTATGTCCACTTATGCCCAAGTGTATTTTTTTGGCACACTTGGGCATAATTTGATCACCACAGCCTACGTGAGTATTGTTGCTGCATTTTTGAGCACCAGTAAGATGTGGCGGGACGAGAGACGCCCAGCTGACAAATCAGCAGCCACCGTGTCCTGCTATCATGTAAATATGGACCAGAATCTCCGAGGAATGTTTCCAGCACCTTGATCAAAAGGAGGTCCAACACAGTGCTAGCAGGGTGTTAATACAGTTAGTGTACACAGAGTGTAGTGCTCAATCACACACACTGATAGCACCTGTTATGTTTAGGTCTAAATTATATTCGTGGTATTAATGAATGTGTTAAAAGTATGTTAAACTGCATAATGCACAGATGAACTGCACATAAAATGGCCCTGATAACACAGCTTCAGCTGATCTGTGTTGTTTTTATCTATTAAATACAAAAAGACACAATTCATTGATTCAGTTACTGCAATGAAAAGAGCAGTATGTGGAATAGCACACTGAATTTCGGGTTAGGTGTGTC